CTATGTTTCTAACGATCGAATCACCCACTACTAACACCTGCCTCTTCCTAACTGGCATTCCCTCCCCCTCAGAGGTATCCTCAGTGCGAGAGGATACCGCAACATCCTCTGGGAGGAGGGTCCCAACTACGGGATGGTTTCCCTCTGCTCCCATTGAATGCTCTGTTCCCTTGAGACTTTCATCCTCCTTAAGAGCACTGGGGCTCTCAGACTGGAGGTGGGACAGTACTACAGTGTCCCAGAAAGACTCAGCAACATATCTCTCTACCTCCCTTAGCTCCTCCAGTTCAGCCACCCTGGCCTCCAAAGCCCGAACTCGGTCTCTGAGGGTCAGGAGCTCCTTGCAATGAGTGCACACATATGCCACCCGCCCACAGGGCAGGTAATCATACATGTTACACTCAACGCAATAAACAGGATAGCCCCCACTCTGCTGCTGGGCTTCTGTCTCCATGTTTGGAACTCGGTCTCTGAGGGTCAGGAGCTCCTTGCAATGAGTGCACACATATGCCACCCGCCCACAGGGCAGGTAATCATACATGTTACACTCAACGCAATAAACAGGATAGCCCCCACTCTGCTGCTGGGCTTCTGTCTCCATGTTTGTAATGAATAAGTTTAGGTGTGAATGGGATTCTTTTTAAACCTCTGGAATACAGATTATTCTAAGAGTTATGTTTTAAAGAAGGCCCGAAGTCACTAGTGCCCTCTAACCTCCCCCTCTAAACTCCCTCTCCAAACTCTCCTGTTAGCTGTTCCTGTTTGCAAGCTCCCTGGTCGCTGAGTCACAGGCTTATATAGCTCTGGTAGCCCCTCCCCCTGACTGAGGCTCAGCCAATTAACAGAGGCTTCTAGGTTTCAAGTGAGCAAGGCTAATCAAGACTTCTGGAGCTAATGAAGAACCCATTGAGACTGGGTAAAAAGGGCTCCCCTTCTGTTAGTACACTGTGTGCAAAAAGCTTGAAGAGAAGGTACTGTAGAAGGTCTGGGAAGAGCAAGCACAAGCAGGTACCAAGCAGGAAGAGCCTGCAGCAAAGAAGGTGCTGGTGAGGGCCATGGAGAAGTGGCCCAGGGGATCGTAGCTATCACACTGCTGGTACTGCAGACACTGCAGGCAGCTTCTATTACAGGTCTTGGGCTGGAGCCCGGAGTAGTTGGTAGGCCCTTCCACCACCAACTCCTTTTTCAGTACCAGAAAAGGACTAACTTTGGTAAAGGTGATTATCCTACCCATATCACTTGAAGGGAGAAGTAGAGAGTAGAAGATTTGGTTTCCTCTCTTTTCCCCTTGCTGGCTAATGATGAGGGGGGTAACTCACCAAACAGTAAGCTGGTGCCTAGAAAACAGGCTAAAGTAAAGGCTTCTGTGAGCCTCTGAGGTGAGAAATCTGCCTGAAAGCGCAGAACCAATCAAGGAAGAGGAGGAGTTTTGTCACAATACAGAAGTCCCATAACCTCAGGGTCTCTTGACACAGGGAAGAGTAGTGTGCATCCCCAGTTGTTTGATCTAGAACATTGATGTTGTGCTGTCCGTCAAAACTGACACACAATGGCCCGTCAGGTGGGTCCAGAAAGCTTGGCATGCAAAGCACACCTCCATGAGATCCCTGATGCTTATGTGAAGGTTCATATCAGGAGGAAACCAAAGGCCTTGAGTTTTGAGGCCTTCTAGGTGGGCTCCCCTAAGTCTGATGCAGTCATCACTAAGGTTTGAAGTGGGTGCAGCGGCACAAAAGGGATTTTAAAACACATCTGCTGCTGACTGAGCCACCACAGGAAGGTGAAGGAGAATGAATCTTACTCTCGCATGATGTACCACATATGTACATGAAGCCATGTGACCCAGCAGCTTCAAGTAGTTCCTGCCTGTAGTAGTGGGAAACCTTCTGAGCCCATGAATGATTGTGGTCATGGCCAGAAACCTCTCCACTGGGAGGTAAGCCCTTGCTTGAAATTAGTCCAGTACTGTCCTAATGCAGCAGTTCCCAACTGCCAGGCTGCAGCCCGACATATGCTAGGCCATGGCAGCTCTGGGGGGCCAGGGCTGGGGTACACTGCTCCCACCGCAGCTGTTGGGAGAGGCGTGTTCTGACCAATCTCTCAGCAAACCAGTGCTGGGCAGGGGCCAGTTCTCTCCCAGAGACATAGAACCGCACTTTGCTGTGCAGCAGGAGGGCCACACAAAGCCTGATACAGCAGCCTTAAAGCAGCTGCAACCTGGGCAGCAGTACTCAGCTAGTGGCTAAGAGGCCACACAGGGCTAGGTGAGGAGGATGGGGCAGACACTGGATGGGGTGTCTAGTGCTGGTGGGCTTTGGGGGTGGGGGACTCTAAGAAGTGGAGAGTTAATACAGGTGACTGGGGGCTTGCACTGAGGGGTGTGCAGTGGGGCTCTGGTAAAAGGAGGCTAGCACTGGGGAGTCTGGTGGTGGGGGCTCTAAGGGACAGGGGGCAAGCACATAGCACTGGGGAGTCTGGTGGTGGGGGCTCTAAGGAACAGGGGGCAAGCACTGAAACGTTTGGGATGGGGGCTGGGCACTAGGGAGCTGTGAGGGTGGGAGGCTGGCACTGGAGAGGGTTGAGTGCAGGGGAACCCGGGGTCAGTGGCTAGCGCTGGTGGTAGTGGAGGGGTGGAGGTTAGGGCTGGCACTGGAGAACTCTAAGGGCTGGAGCTTTTGGCAGATCGATTACATTTTATGTGCATAATGAATACACACACGTGCAAATAGTATGTTACCAGTACACCAAAAATTTGTGAATGGGCTTGCCGGTGCCTGGTATAAAGAAGTTTGGGAACCACTGTCATAGTGAATTCTATCCTCTGGACCAGAGAAAGAGTGGATTGTGTTTCTTTGAGGAAGAGGTTTAGATTGTCAAATGTGGCTCTGAGGAGGTTCACGTGGGTCTCTACTTGACTCCTGGACTGGCCTTTGATGAGACAATCACCTGGTATCGAAACACTACCTGACGCCTGCAGAGGAAGGTGGTGACAACTGCCATGCATTTTGTGAACATTCAAAGGACTGAGGATAGGCTGAAAGGGAGCACTGTGAATTGATAGTATATACTACAAATCTTAAGTACTTTCTGTGGGATTGGTAGAACAAGATGTAGAAGTACGTATCCCTCAAGTCGAGGGGGGCGTGCCAGTCCTTCGGATCCAGATAGGGACAGGGTTGGCAATAATTTCTGAAGTGCCATACATCACCCCAGAAAGGGCAGGGCTCAAGCAGAAGGGAAGGGGCCAGGACACTTCCCTGCTTCCCCACCCACAGACCATGATTGGTCTGGTGGTGGGGGAGTGAGTGAATTCTTTGCCCTGCCCCCCACAGGCGCCCATGCCCCTGATGGTAGGAGAAGACTTCATGCACACCCCTTCTGCCCCCAGGCCAATCAGGGTTTGGGGGCAGGTAGAGCGCGCGAAGTCTCTTCCCGCCCCCCCAGGAGCGCATGGTGCTTCAGCTGCAGACTCCTTGCAGGGCAGGGCAGTAGAAACTTCATGCACTCACCCCCGCCCCCAGTCCCTGATTGGCCTGGGGACAGAAGAGGGAGTGCATGATGTCTCCTCCCACCATCAAGTGCAGAATTGGCCTGGGGTGGGGAAGCAGCAGGGCCGTGTCAGGCTGGATCAACCTGCTCAGCAGGCAAAATCCAGTCCACAGAGGCCCTTTTGTCCACCCTGAGATAGGGAATTATGAATGACAGAAACAAACGTGACGAACTTGAGCTTCTATACAAAGTTGTTGAGTTGCCACAGGTACAAAATGAGACAAAGCCCACCCTTGGCTTTTGGTATTAGCAAGTAACAGGAGTAAAACCCTTCTTCCCTGTGTTCTCAAGGGACTTCATGAACAACCCTTACAGATAGTGGTGACTTAACCCCCTGAATTAGGAGTTGATGAGAAGGGCCCCTGAAGAGGGACTGAGAGTGGGGATGGAATAATACCACAATGTTTAAGTTGATGGTTTGCCTTTCATGAACATTCATTTGTTCTTACAGGGAAAAGATGGCATGATTGTTTCTCCTGATTCTAACATACAGCTGGCACTGCAAAGAGATGACAGTGTACCTAAAGTGCCACCAACCAAGGATACAGGTAAGATTTAGAAATGTTACAATATTAAGCTCTCTAAAAGATACTGTTCCATATAAAAATAAGAGTTCAGTGAAGGACAACTGCAGATAGCACTCACCTTTTCATTTATAAAAAAAGATGTTCATGAGCTAGGTGTGGTTTCTGCTAACTTCAGTGTGGAAATTTAAAAAAAGCTTCAGATAAAACTGAACTGCATATTTTCTGAATGTAGCTGATGCTCCTATCACATCCTGTAGGCAAACAAAATATTGAATGGCCAAATGAAAGCATAATAAAGCTAGACAATTCCACAGAAGCTAAAAATATGAATTGACTATCAAGCAAAAACTTAGCAAAGCTTTTGATATGGTCTCCCACAATATTCTTGCCAGCAAATTAAGGGGGTATGGATTGGATAAATGGACTGTGAGATGGAGAGAAAGCTGGCTAGAGGCCCAACTGGTAGTGATCGGCGCTTGATGTCAGGTTGGCGATCAGTTTCTAGCCGAGTGCCCCAAAGATCGGTTCTAGGGCTGGTTTTGTTCAACATCTTTATTAATAACTGGGATGAGGGGATGGATTACACCCTCAGCAAGTTTGCAGATGACTCTAAGCTAGTGGGAGAGGTAGATACGTTGGAGGGCAGGAATAGGGTCCAGACTGAGCTAGTCAGATTAGAGGATTGGGCCAAAAGAAACCTGATGAAGTTCAAAAAGGACAAGTGTAGAGTCCTGCACTTGGGATGGAAGAATCCCAAGCATTGTTGCTGGCTAGGGAACGAATGGCTAAGTAGCAGAAAAGGACCTGGAGATTACAGTGGATGAGAAGCTGGATATGAGTTAACAGTGTGCCCTTGTAGTCAAGAAGGTGAATGGAATATTAGGTTGCATTAGGAGGAGCATTGCCAGCAGATCTGGAAAAGTGATTATTCCCCTTTATTTGGGTCTGGTGAGGCCACATCTGGAATATTGTGTCCAGTTCTGGACCCCCCACTACAGAAAGGATGTGGACACACTGGAGACGGTCCAGCGGAGGGAAACCAAAATGATTAGGGGGCTGGAGCACATGACCTATGAGGAGAGGCTGAGGGATTTGTCTGCAGAAGAGAAGAGTGAGGGGGGGTATTTGATAGCAGCCTTCAACTTCCTGAAGGGAGGTTCCAAAGAAGATGGAGAGAGACTGTTCACAGTAGTGACAGATGGCAGAACAAGGAGCAATGGTATCAAGTTACAATGGGGGGAGGTCTAGGTTGGATATTAGGAAAAACTATTTCCCTAGGAGGGTGGTGAGGTACTGGAATGGGTTACCTAGGGAGGTGGTGGAATCTCCATCCCTAGAGGTTTGTAAGTCTCAACTTGACAAAGCCCTGGCTGGGATGATTTAGTTGGGATTGGTCCTGCCTTGGGCAGGAGGCTGGACTTGATGACCTCCTGAGGTTTCTTCCAGCTCTATGATTCTATGAAAATAAATACATGTGCCTTATATCATATTCCAAAGTTCGACTAATATTGAAATGAAATGTGGTCACCACAGTCTTTATGCGGCGTCTTTGGCTGGCTGGCTGGAGGTAAATGGCTATTATCCTTTAAAGGCTCTCTCTCAACAATATGTGACTAAGAACAGGGATAAGTTAGGGAAGGGGTCACTGTCCTTTCTGCAGACTGGAATGCAATGAGGGAGTCGAACTCACACAGCCCCAGAGAAGCTGTCTTTTACCTGGATCAGGCTCCCACTTACTCAGCCATAACATTGGCAAAATAATTGGATTTCTACATGGCCATCACTGTGGGCATTATTCTAGATGCTCTTTTTCTTGGTGCCCAAAGCAGAGTGAGGGGGCTTTTTTGGTCTTCTTCACAGAAGACTGGAACCCAGGAGAGTGTATTCTGGGGTGGAGATTAAGTTGTGTTCAGGGGTGGGGATTAATTTATAAAGTCACAACAGTAAGTAAAAATTATCTTCACTGGACAGCTGTCATAATTATTAGCAGTTATCACATTAAAATGGACTGGGAAAGGATTTGAAAGAAAGCATCCCTTAAAGGACCTGTGAAAGAGGAAGCACTGGAATTTTTACATCTGGAACAGCATGCTGCCAACCTCTCTCTTTCTGTAGCCCCACAAGGGTATGGCTATGACAAGGTTGTGGATTATGAGGAAGTGATTAAGGAAATAATCATGACCTGCACTATATAATTTATTGCAAGGCTCCTTTGAATATTTACAGTGAATAAAACTAAAGCCAAATTACACCATAACAATTGTCTACTGTCTATCTTATGGCATCACCAGAAAATGGGTGAAGTGAAAAAACTAGAGACACTTCCATGGAGAGCTTTCTGAACTCAGAACCTCAACTTCAGTAAGGAGCAGAATATGTCTGTACTATGACTAGAGAGAACTTAACTTAGCAGAGGTTTATATGTGACAACCAATATCTTGAAATGTATCCAGAAACTAATTAGAATCAAAATTAATAGGGCACAATATGCTCCATAGAAGGAACACGGTTATGATTACTGCAGCTACATTCTCCATTAGCTCAAGTTTCCCAGTTGTTTTGAAGAGTACCATCTACAGATAGGATTTTCTGTAATTAACATGACACGTTCTCCATGTGAAAGGAAAAAAATAAATAAAAAAAACCCCACCCACATCCCCCCCCCCAAAAAAACCCAAATTAAAAAAAAATTTAAAAAAAATCTTCTTGTCAAAAAGAAATGAAATGAAACGAAACACTCTTTAGGACATGTGTATCCCAAAATCCACAACCACACTATGATTTAACAAGATCTTCAAGTTGCAAATTCTAACAATTTGTTCAAGAAAAAATTACAGCCTCCATCGTCTACAGACATTTCCCCAGCTAACGAACATTCTCTGAAATGAATAATCTGCCAGTTATGAAACAATAGTAAGCAAAGGTAAAGTGTACACTCAGACTCCAATGAAACAGCCATGCAATGCTGAGCATCAAAAGCATATTGATGGCACTGCTTCTACAACCACATCACTATTACCTGTCTTCACATACATGCTGAGCAAACGGAGTCAAAAGGTCAAGATCTCAAATCTGAGGCATGCGATTAAATGCCAGGCTATGAATGGGGTCCAAACCTCTCCATGGAAAGAAGAAACTGAAGACTTAACAATTCTCAGTTTAACAATTAACAATTTTCTTTGTTAGGTGGATAGCAAAAAGTACCACCTATACACCATACCCATATCCAGTGCTTTTTTTTGGGGGGGTATATTAAAAAAAAAAAAAGTGTCGGTACTAGGGTTCCAATGGTTTTGTTGAGGGGAATAAAAGCCAGGGAAAAGTTTGTTGAGAAAAAAAAAAACCCAAAACAACGGGTCCGAACAGATCCGAAATGCGGTCACAGCCCCTTTGATTGCTGCGTGTCCAGCATGAGTGCTCCCAGGGACAGCTGGGGCTATGCTGAAGAAAAGCGGCGAGTGCGCCCAAAAAAAGCATACTGTCACAAAAAAAGCATATCCATGCAAAATGGCTAAAAGGCTCAGTACCACGAAGAGTTAGAGATTAGAAAAACAAAAGATTAATTCAAAGCTGCAACATTAACTTTGAGGCAATATCTTAATATTTCTTGATTCCATGAATAGGCCATTTGCCTTAGCATCCTTTGCTGCAGAATTGTGCTCTAGAATCAGGTAGATAAAAATTAAATCGGCTTTGAGTAAAAACCTATGTATAGTTTTCATTAAAATACATCATAGCTCAAAGATATCTCATCATGGAATAGGGATTATAAATACTATGCCAGTCGGAGTCAGTGCTCAGTCCAGAAGATACCATCAGAGATGCTTAGTTTTGCAGTTCTCAAACTGTGGATTTGTGTCTCCACAGATAACATGCTTGTTAACAGCAAAAATGTTTTTAAATTAATAAAGAATATATAGAGGAGAAAATAACTTACCTCAATCCTATTGTACCTCTGCAAATTTGTGTACTCAGAGTCAATCCCTTACCTCTCTCTAAAAGTGCAAAGTTTCAAAAAGTTCAGTGAAAAGAAGCCAATATTTTAAGTTTTTCATGTTGACCTGGCAGACATAGACTATTTAATTTCTATCTATATATAAACAGTTTTTACTGTAGGATGACACCCTCAACCCCTCCCCTCCACCCTAAGCCACATGGCTTCCCCTCTCCGGAGCCACAGAGCCACACAGCAGCCTCTGTGCTGGAGGGAGTGGGGGAAGGGAGGCACGAAACGGGAGCCACATGGCCTCTAGCCCAGCCTGCCAAAGTTTCAGCCTGGCCTAACGCTCTGGCAGCAGGAGGAAGAGAATAGGGTTGCCAGATGGTTTCAACAAAAATACCGGACACACTTGACATTACCTCACAATCTACATTACATCTTATTTAGAAAATATCGAACATTTATATTTTCTCAATTTGTTTCCCAAACAGGAAGCTCAAATATTGGACTGTCCAGTTCAAAACCGGACACCTGGCAACCCTAGAAGAGAGCCAGGCCTGCCGCAGCAAGGTCTGTGGCAGTAGGGACAGGAGCTGAAAGCTATGTGGCTCCCAGGCTACTTGGCTTCCCCCTTTTTCTGGGGAAGAGGGCTCCAGGGAGCCAGCAGGATCAGGGAGGTGGCATCCACCCTATGGCGCCACAGACTGCTTCAGAGAAGGCAGTGGTGGCGCTTGGCTGGGGCAGACAGCCAGGAAGCAGAGTGGCCTGACTCCACATATGGCAGCAGCCTCACTCTGCCCGCTCGGTCCTGGGTGCCTGGAGTCGCAGCCAGGACCTGCTTAAAAAGAACAAAGGGAGGCGAGGCATCTTCCGTCTCAGTGAGCCAACACAGCACCATGGGATCTCGGGCCCTGAACAGAGACATGCCACAGCCTATAGCAGCTAGAAGCCCACAGAGATGCTTCTGTTCCCCCGCGCACCCTCGGCTGCAGGTCGCTGGTGGGCAAGAAGGAGGAGGGAGAGTTGGCCCTCCGTCTCCTCATGCGAACAGGACTCCCAGCCCAATCCCACAATGTACAGG